GGCCCTCCCCGCCCAAGAAGCTCAGGAGACAAGGCCCAGAGGAGGAGACTTTTAATACAAAGAGGGGAGGGCCGGGCCTGGGGAGGACTGAGATGAGGGGCATGAGGACGTCAGGAGCCCGCGGCCGTGGGGCGTGGGGCCCTCCGCAGTGGTAGGATGCAGACGGAGTTCCGCGCCTCCTTGATCCGCCACCATCGGCCCAGCCTGTGGGGCGAGGGACAAGCTGAGGCCCAGCCGGGAGCAGCGCCCCGTCCCACCCAGCCAGTAGCCAGTGCCACCCCCCACCCTCACCCTCACCCTCCGGGGGTGCCTCATACCTGTGCTCCTGCCCCACCCCGGCCACCAGGAAGTCCCCAGTGCTGGAGAACTTGAGGCTATTGATGAAGCCCACCTGAGAAGGGAGGGACAGCACAGTGGGAGGTGAGCACAGACCCCCCCCACCGCCACCACAGCCTGCACATGAGGGTCGAGGGATCGAGGGCTTGGCCCTAGCCGACCGGCCTTCAATCCCTGCTCCACCTCCTGCCACCCGGGCAGCCTGCTACCCTTGGGGCCTCAGCAAGAAGGGGAGGCAGAGTGCCAGCCTCTCGGTAGCTTTGAGGACTGAGGAGACAGTGTACTCTGAGTACGTCAGTGTGGCCCATGACCATCGCCGATGACCCAAGCTCTGGACTGTCACCCGATGTCACTGACAGACCTGCCACTCTTCCCACGGTCACCCAAGTCTGCATGCCCTAGCTCAGCATCAACCTGGCACCAGCCATGCAGCACCCATCACAGGGCCAGGCCTCCACACCTCTGCCCACGTGGTTCCTGCCTCACATCCCAGCACCCGGGGCAGGGAGGGAAGTGGAAGGGAGAAGGGAGGTTCCTGCCAGGCCCCGTGCTAGGAGCTGGACCATGAAGACAAAGTCACAGATGCTCCCGCTCTGAGTAGGTTCCCTTCTGGTAGAAAAGGCAGTTAAGGGACCTTGGAGTGTGGCAGAGGCGGGCTGGGCACTCGAGCCCCACTCACCAGGGGGATGTCGCAGAGAAGGTCGAGCTGCCGGAAGCCCTCCCCACACTGCCAGAGCCGCACGCAGGAGCTGTGGGAGCCTGGGGGCAGGGCGACAGTGAGCACGGCCCCAGGCCCCAGGGGTCCCCCCTCTGCTGCCCAGGGTGCTCACCAGTGGCCACGAGGTCTGTGTTGAGCAGGGCTGCCACTGACGACACCCAGAAGGGCTGCTCCAGGCCTGGCTCCCCCCGAAGCCCGTGCGCCTCACGCTGCAGGGCCAGCGGCCGTTTCTTGGAGAGGCCCCACAAGGCCACAGAGCTGGGGACAGGGGCACTCAGTGAGGGGCCGGGGGCAGGGCAGAAAAGCCACGTGGTGGGAAGGGACTGAGTGTACACCAGCCATGGGACAGACAAGGTCACCTGAGCACTGTCCCTCGGTTCCTCATCTATGCAACACGGTGACAGCTACTCCCAGGCAGGGGGACTGGACGAGGGAGCCCAGGGACCGCGGCAGTGGTGGGAGGCACCCAAAGGCAGCACTCACCCATCATCAGCGCCTGACACCATGTGCTCCTCGTTGATGAGCTGGATGCTGTCAATGGAGCCCCTGAGAAAGGAGCAGTGAGGAGCGTGGTCCACCCCACCCCGCCCACGGAGCCCCGCCTGGCACAGTGGTCACGGCCTTACTGGTGGCCGTAGAAGACAAGCTGGGACTCCTCAGGGATCTTCCACACGCGCACAGTCCCGTCCCGGCCCCCCGCCGTCACGCAGCACTCCCGGCTCAGCGCGTCCAGTGCAGCCACAGCATCCTGGTGCCCGAAGCTGGAGGGGGACAGAGGATGGGGTCACCCGCGAACTCGCACACGCAGGCCCGCACCCCCTCTCCACGCACACTCACAGCGTCTCCACGTAGGAGTTCTCCGCCACGTTCCACACCTTCACAGAGCGGTCGTGGGACGTGCTGTAGAGCTGGTGGGTGCCTCTGCGGAACGCCAGCCCCTACGGGTGCACAAAGGGCAGAGGGGGCGGGACTACAGCAGGTGACACAGGGCAGGCCCAGAGAGACTTCCTGGGAAACAAGTCACACAGAACAGGGAGCCAGCTCTCCCAGGGCACCGTGAGCCACTTCTGTGCTGCCCTACCTGGAGCCAGGGGCCCACTCACCTGCCCTCACCTCCCCTCCAGCAGCTGCAGACTTCTCAGGGGCCTCTCTGCCCCCTGGGCGAGCTCCACTCAGTCCCCAGCTCCCTTCTGCTCCTTTACCCCACGCGACTCACTAAGCCAAAGTGCAGGTTCCCCAAGGAAGGCACCCTCCGCCTCCTTCGCCCCATTCCCCAGGGCCCAGCACCAAGCCTGGGCTGCTCAGGTGCTCGATAAACGTCCCCCGAGGGAGCCCATCTCACCGACACAGCGTCCCGGTGTCCTGTGAAGGTGTACAGGTGCCTGCAGCTCTGGGCCTCCCAGATGAGGATGAGCTTGCTGCGGTCACCCGAGGCCTGTGGGGAGGACAACAGTGGCCACAGGCACCCCCCGTGCCCGGACCTCTCACCGCCCCCAGGGCCAAGCCTGCCTTACAAGGTATTTGCCGTCGGAGGAGATGGCCATGCAGAGGACGTGGCTGCTGTGGCCGGGGGGCTGTCCCTCGGCACCCTTCTTGGCTCGTGGGATCACATGAAGCTTCCGTCCACTCTCCACGCTCCCTGACACCAGGGAAGAGAGAGGCTGCTGGGACAGGGGACAGGACAGGCTGGCAACCCGCCCCCAAGGGCAGCATGGGGTCCTGGGAGAAGTTCTGGCTTCCGGTGAGATCTGGCTCAGCCACGGTGAGCCCCTGGACAGGTCACCTCAGTTTCCTCATCTGTTAAGTAGGGACAATAACCCTAAAGGGCAGCCATGAAGCCCAGAAGGGAAGGGAGAGGAAAGTGCTTTGGGTCTGACAGTTCTTCCTGCAACTGCTGTGGGTACAAGAGCCTGGGAACCCAGAGGACCAGGAGCTCGGTCCCAGGACTGCGCAGAGCCTCACGGGTCCTCTGGTCCAGCTGCCCCCACAGCATGGATTCCCCCGAAATCTCATCCTGCTGCTGCTCACTCGTCTCCGATGACAGTGACAGGAGCTCACAGGCCCCACTCCTGGGGGGAAGCCCCCACTGTCACCCAGAAACACTGCTTTGGAAGCACACTTGTCCCCAGAAGCTTCCCCATCAGGCCTTAGTTTGCCCCGATTCCTCCTTCCTCCCAGGCCAGCCTCCCAGATGGCCCCGGGGGCGGCACCCCCATCCCGCACGCACTCACACTTAATAATGGTGCAGTCTTTGGCCGCGGAAAAGATAGCCAGGTCATCAGGGGTGATAACCAAACACGTGATGGACAGCTGGTGGCCCCGTAAGACTCGGATGTCAGCCGGGGCTGGGGCCTGAATCTGGGCGGGCAGGGCTGGGTCACTGCGACTGGGGGCAGGGAAGCACCCCTACCTACACACACACACACACACACACACACACGCCATCCTTTCCCGCCTCCCTGCCCAGAAGGAAACGACTCAGGGCTGCAAGGGAACCAGACCCTGGCCTGACCCTGGCCAGGTGCCTGGCATCTTCCCAAGCAAAGACCCCGCAGCCTGAGCCCCCAGTTGGGCCACCTGCTCACCAACCCAGGTGGGACACCCCAATTCTCTCCAATACACCGAAGTGCCCTGCCCGCTCACCTCCTTCGCCACCGACTTCTGCAGCCTGCCCCTCTGTTCGAGCTGCAGGGAGAGGGCAGGGGTGAGGGCCCTTGAGCCCGGCCAGCCCCCTCCCTCCGCCGGCCACCCTCCCGCCACAC